GGGATGAAGCTTATGCGTGGTTTGAAAGTTAGGCCGCGTTCATGCGTGTGCGGCAGAATGGATCTAAGGGAAAGTTGTCCGGAAGGATCGCTGTGATTGGTCAATTTGGATCTAACGGAATTACGTATATGTATGACTTGCTAACCTTGACTTATACTATATTATGCACGTACGACGTGCCGCAACTTACAAGATATGGAATACATGTATATGTATGCGCATGCGTTATCTTACGAAAAATTATAAGTCAAAAATGTGGCTCGGACGTAACATTATACCGTACTACAGCCGTTTTTTTGATGTGAAGTGCACAGTACTGTTCTTGTAACGTTCTTGTACCGGTAATAAGTTTAATTTTCAAAGATAAGTGTCTCAAAGAATAATGAGACAGAAGAAGAAAACAATTTATAACAAATGTACGTACAGAAATTGTGCTAATGGACGATATTTAACGGGATACCATTTATTTAGATTTCCATTCGATGCCAGACTACGGTATATAGGTATGTAACAGTGGTAAGTCTACGACATTTTTATATAAGAAACCATATATGCATTTTTTAATAAATTAGTATGTTTGTGAAAAAAATAAAATATCAAGATATTAAGATTAATGTGAGCCAATATATAGGTTGTTCTTAAATGTACTTATCAATTTAGAAATGTAGTCAAACGTTTTGATTCTTAAATTTGGATCTCTATCAGTCATTACTTTGGTATAAAAAATAAAACTACCAGTATTCAATAAAATATATCTAAATATGTAAAGCTCTTTATAAAAAAATACTAAAAAAATAGATATCTAAAGAAATTTAAAAATTAATTGAAGTAATGATAGCAGAAACACTTTGTTCACAGTATAATTCTCAATCGTCTCTCTTTCTCTCACATTCCAGTCAAATTAATATTAAATACATTTAAAAAATCAATGCAGTAGTAAAATAGGCGTAACTGAACGGTTTGCAGGATATTTTGCAGGAAAATAATACTCAAAGCGATTTTGTCCCAAACGTTTCAACTATGTATTGAGTTTTCTTCAGTAGGTACTACATGTGAGACTTAAACTTTACTAATTTAGCGTTTAACAATAAATTGTCTTATGATACAAATGTATAAATACCTCAAAGTAACAATATGTGGCAACTACATAGTAACCACCACGTGCGCAACGGAGCGGCGGCGAGTTGAACTGCGCCCGCCGCTCTGTGCCGCTACCGCGAGAGCTGCGGCGCTTAGGCTTAGGCCCTGTTCATGGCTGCCGCGCTAGTTGCTTATCTGTAGGCGCTTGTGGTGGTTACTATGTAGGTGCCACAGGACCCTCCTTGTTGTAGGAAGGTCCTTCCTCTATACCTGGAATCTTACTGCTGGTTTCAATAGTCTTCCTGCTTGTGAGTGTGTTTTTGTATCTCTCTGTTCTTCGCGAGTGAGCTTTGTCGTTGATGTATCTTCTTCTCGAAGGATGAATGGTGGTTTTAGTCGGTCTATTGTAATAAATTATTGTAATAAACCACATTCTATTGTAACCATTAGGTTACCGGTTTTCCTTTTATCCTGACTTTGTGTGTTTTGTCTCCCCGACTGAGTACTTCGTACGGTCCGTCGTACGGAGGTTGTAGTGCCCCTCCCGTTGGTGCGTCATGCCGTACGAATACCTGTGGTGTAGTATCCATGTCTTTGAACACAAATGTTGGTGAATGCCCATGCCTTCGTAACTTCGGCTGTAAGCTTGTCATGACTTCTCGTAGTCGTCTAATGTAGTTATCTGTGTAGTATGTGTTTGCTTGTTCTTCCAAGAATTGCCCCGGCAGTTTATTATTATTAGTTCTCCAAACACCATTTTAGCTGCCGTGCTCTGTATGTCTTCTTTCCATGCCGCGCGGATTCCCATTAAGATGACTGGCAGTGTCTCTGTCCAGTTTGTCGATTGGTGACATTTTATTGCTTCCTTCATCTGCCGGTGAAGCCGTTCCACCATTCCGTTTGCTGCCGGGTGATATGCTGTTGTTTTCCAGTGTGTTGAGCCGGTCAGCTGCATTAAACGCCGAAACAGGTCGGATTCGAACTGCTTTCCCTGGTCCGTTGTTACTTTTAGTGGAGTCTCGAATCGTGTTATCCATTTGCTGAATATCTGTTGGGCCACTGTTTCTGCTGTAATGTCTCGGATTGGAAATGCTTCCGGCCACCTTGATAATCGGTCTATTATCGTGAGACAATATTTGTACCCTTTTGAAATCGGGAGTGGCCCCGCTTTGTCCGTGTGGATGTGTTCAAATCGCCCTGTGGGGTTCATGAAGTTTCCTATAGAAGTTTTGTTGTGTTTGGTAACCTTGGATCTTTGGCACTGGATGCATGTTCTTGCCCATGCTATACAGTCTTTTTGTGCCCCTGGCCATACATATCTCTTTGTTATTAATCTTGCTGATGCTTTCGTTCCTGGGTGCGCCAAATTATGTAGTGACAGAAAAACTGTTTGTCGCAAGATTTATGAAACATATGGCCTGGTTAACGGCGTGTCCTTGTCACACCATATAGGCTGATGTCTGTCCCTGGGATTGGTATTTTAACGAATTTCAATCTCTTGTTCCTTTCTATAATCTCTTTTAGTTCGTTGTCCGTCTCTTGTTCTGATGCTAGTTGCTCGGAGTTGGTGGCTTTCTCAATTGTGTTTACTCGCGATAGTGCGTCTGCCACTACGTTTTCTTTGCCTGCCACATGGCGTAAATCTGTTGTAAATTGTGCAATATACTCCAAGTGTCTTGCTTGGCGGAGGGAGCTTTTTAGTGGATCTTGCTTGAATGCGTACACCAGCGGATTATGATCCGTGTATAGTGTGAACTGGCGGTCTTCCAACATGTGCCGATATTGCTTTATTGTTAAGTATATTGCTAGGAGCTCCCGGTCATACAAGCTGTATTTTTTCTGTGCTTTGGTTAATTTTCTGCTAAAGAATGCCAATGGCTGCCATTCGTGTCCTAGTTTTTGTTGTATAACTGCCCCAACCGCGGTGTCTGATGCGTCTGTTATGACTGCTAGCTTTGCCTCTGTTTTTGGATGCATTAACTGTGTTGCTCGAGATAAGCTCTCTTTGCATTTTTCGAAGGTTTGTTCTGCCTCTTCTGTCCATTTTACAGGGGTCTTCTCTTCGCTTTTCGGTCCTTTTAGTAAGTCGTTTAATTCTGCTTGCCGCCTTGGGGATGAATCTCCGATAAAAGTTCAACATCCCTAAGAACTGGCGTAGTTGTTTGGCTGTCTGTGGCTTTGGAAATTTTTTGATGACTTCTACTTTTTCTGGCAGTGGCTTCGTCCCTTCTCCTGTGACTAGATATCCTAGGAACTTCACGGTTTCTCCAAAGACGTACTTCGCCGGGTTTATTTTTATTCCATAGCTGTCCAACGACTTCCCGTAGGTGTTTCTCATGCTCTGCCTCTGTTGTTGATGCCACGAGTATGTCATCGATGTATGCGTAGCAGAATTGCATACCGTGCAATACTTTGTCTATAAATATCTGAAATGTTTGTGCCGCGTTTCTTAATCCAAACGGCATGAAGGCGAACTTGTACAATCCGAATGGCGTTTTTATTGCTGTTGTTACGTCCGCGCCACATTTTTGACTTATAATTTTTCGTAAGGTAACGCATGCGCATACATATACATGTATTCCATATCTTGTAAGTTGCGGCACGTCGTACGTGCGTAATATAGTATAAGTTAAGGTTAGCAAGTCATACATATACGTAATTCCGTTAGATNCGGTGTCGAATCGTACTGTGGTCAAACGGAACACGCCCGAAGAAATTATTGTTTGGAAGAATCCAAGACCTTCGTCTCCTCGGTTTTGTAGACCGATCAGACTTCAATTTTTCCATGAAAATACACAGGCGACCATGAACGAAATTAATTATATTGAAGAACAAATAACAACACTTGTTCCTTTTGAAAGGATTATAGATGGAAAAGAAATTTCTATACGTTACAACCTAGCTTTAACCATGATAGATGGAAAAGTTTGTAATGCAGTTTCGTCAACTTCATCTGCTCAACGTTGCTATTTGTGCGGAGCAACATCAAAACAATTTAATCAAATTGATGAGATTATTAAAAAAGAACTCAACGAAAATTATCTACGTTTTGGATTATCGACACTACACGCATGGATACGCTTTTTTGAATGTTGTTTGCATTTATCCTACAAACTTGACATTAAAAAGTGGCAAGCTCGTAGCAAAGAAGAGAAGCAGATTATAGAAAATCGAAAGGCTTTGATACAAAAGGGTTTCCGGTTGCAATTAGGACTTATTGTTGATCGTCCAAAGCCTGGATTTGGAAGCACAAACGATGGGAACACAGCTCGGCGTTTTTTCGAAAACGCGATAATATCTGCTTCTATAACGGGAGTTGACGAAAATTTAATAAACAGATTTTACGTAATTTTGCAAGTAATTTCGTGTGGTCATGACATTGACTTACTTAAATTTGAAGAATATGCAGTTGCAACTGCAAGGAAATTCGTCGAGCTGTATCCATGGTATTACATGCCAACTTCCGTGCACAAATTATTGATTCACGGAACGAAAATTATAGCCTCTGCTCTACTGCCAATAGGACAAATGTCAGAAGATGCCCAAGAGGCAATGAATAAATATATAAAAAGATTTCGAGAGGACTTCTCGAGAAAATGCTCTCGAGCAAAAACCATGGAGGATGTCTTTTTACGACTTATGATTACATCAGATCCATATATATCAAGTTTGCGAAAATTGCCACAAAAAAAATTAAAAACTTTATCACCAGATGCCTTAAAGTTATTGATTCCACCTAAAATTCAAGCTGCAGAACAAACAGAAACGCAACTTCGAGCTGAAGACAGCTCATTTTATGAAACTTCAGAAGATGATGACGAAGAATCGGAAGACGAAAATTTATCTGAATAATTACTTTGTTTTTTACACTATTTTTATTCGTTTTTTACTATAATAAATACAATTTTAGCTTTACCTTATTAATTTTTACTTATAAACTTTGTACAACTCCTGTAACACAAATTATGTTTAAAATTTTTATCCGCCATTTTGTTATTAAAACTTTTAATTTCAGATTCAGCGACCTCGAAAACTTTGGGATACCAATTTTTGTCTAAATTGAAGTACAATTTCATATTTTGACTATGGTTTTGGGATCCGCCATTTTGTTTTTTAAACTTTTGACTTCAGATTCATAATCAGCGACCTCGAAAACTTCGGGATACCAACTTTTGTCTAAATTGAAGTACGATNCGCGGCCTAACCTTCAAACCACGCATAAGCCTCATCCCTACCCGGACGACTCCGCCTTCGGATCCCACTCTCGGACAAACAGCCCCTTCCACTGCCTCTCCTAGCGAGCTGGCCCTTCTCTTTCATTCCGGAGCCGAGTTCAGTCCTGAGTAGTTCGAGCCGTGGTCCAGGACAGTCGACTTCCAATTCTCTCTCAAGTCTCGCATCTCGACCGAAGCCGTCGAGTCCATCCCGCATTCACGGGTCCTTTTCTCTACCTCCTAAGAAATCCAGCGTTAAGAGTAAACTACAAGTAAACGTAAGTCGCTACTAATATTACCTTTATATTATCACTTTATTCTTATGTATTCTTTATTAAATTCGAGTAATAATTAAAGATAAATTTTAACGCTTGCATGCTGTATTAAAACTCAAGTATTCAGCCTATTGTTCGCACTTGAGTAAAGTCAAAAGCATTGATTGTATCATATAGTATTCAGAATATATACTCATTATTATACTCAACTGAGATATTGATTATTGAGTCATTTGTGTGTTGTGCAAAAGTTTATACTCCTAATTCCTTGCGTAGACGCGCTCGTTAAACAGCGCATCTCGTTACCTGTGCCGAAAGAAGCGCCCGAACGGCGAATCTTGAGGATCCTTCCAACTACCAATTCTCACGGCGCACAGTGGTCCAAAATCTCAAAAACGTGGTCAAAACCCCAAAAATAAAGTTTTGATCTAGAGAATTCTAACTGTTGAGTTGGCTACAGTGACAATGTGCCTATTGAATGGCAAAAGAGAGAAGGGTCTATCTTTTGTACCTGAGTCTATACTTTAATTCAAAGTTGGCTTTCGTTTGAGCAGCGTGTCGTGTGCGTCAGTACGAAAATAAACGTATACTTTAGAAGTGCATAACTTCTGGAAAAAATTAGTGATTTTAATTTTGTAAAATGGATGCTATTCCTGGAGGTAAGTAGAATATTTATTCGTATTGAAATAACTAAAATTGTCGGATTGAAGATTGTATAATGATAACATTGTTTATAAAGAAAACGCTAAAACTTTTCTGAAAATGTTTACAAATATAGACAAAAAGTTATATATCCCGCAATATCCCACCAAAATTTTTGTTTAGGCTTGTAGTTTATACTTTTATCTAGCAAAATTGGTAACAATTAGCTGCTACTTTTTGCAACTTTAGTTGTATGGTTATTTTATACAATGAGATCTCCATATATTCCTTTTTTGGACAAGTTAAGAAACCATTAAATATTCGCGTGTTTTCTATTAATTGTCTTGCATGTTTAACATGTAGTGACAATATTATAATACATTTTAAACATATAGGATGATTTTTAGGTTAGGGTGAACACTGTATTAACTGCTTATGGCAGCTCGTAACAGCAAAAAGCCGATCACTAGGCTTTCGGACGGTACTGTATTAAGTGTAAACAACAAGTGCATCTATAAATTAAAATTTATAAAAAAATAA